TACTGATGGTTAATGATGGTGAGAATCTTTTCATGTCCTCTGGTCACTCGTATATCTTTTTGAGAAATCTGTTTAAGTCTTTTGCTCATTTTTAAATTGAGTTTGTATCTTTTCGTTAAGATTTAGAAATTCTTGGCTAGGGTAGTGGTGCATGCCTATAATCCCAGCACTTGGGAGGCTGAGGAGGATCACTGCAAGTTTAGTGCTAGCCTAAGCTACATAGTGAGTTTGAGGTCAGCGTGGGCTACAAAGTAAGTTCAAGGCCACCCTGAACTGCATAGTGAAACCTTGTCTCCAAAAAAAAAAAACAACAAAAAGAAGATTTCGGAATTCTTGATATAATCTGAACTTTTTTTTCTGTGCTGAGGATTGAACCCAGGGTATTATTGCTCATGGTAGGTAGGTGCTTTACCACTGAATTATACTTCCAGACCTGTTTGGGACATTAGATCCTTACATATGTGATTTGCAAATGTTTCTTCCATTCTGTGGGTTGTCTTTACACTCTCTGATGTTTTGTGTTTGTGAGTATGTGTATGTATGTGTGTGTGTGTGTGTGTGTGTGGTGGTGGTGGTAGTGGGGATTGAACCCAGGGCCTCATGATACTAGACAGATGTCTTACCACTGAAGATATCCCATGATAATGTCTTTTGATTCACAAAAGCTTTTTTAAAAAAATTATCTTTTAAAAATTATTGTTGTTTTGTTTTGGTTTTCTTGTTCTTTGAGCTAGGGTTTCGCTATGTAGTTCAGGCTGGCCTTGAACTCACTATGTTGCCTAGGCTGGCTTTGAACTTGCAGCAATCCTCCTGCCTCTGCCTCCTCAGTGCTGGGATTACAGGCATGTGCTACCACTCCAAGCCTAACAATTATTGTTGTTGCCTGTGCTTTTGGTGCCTTTTTAAAGAAGCCATTGCTCAGCTGGGCATGGTGGCACATGCCTGTAATCCCAGTGCTCTGGGAGGCAGAGGAAGAAAGAAGGATCATAAGTTTGAGCCTGATGTGGGCAATTTGGTGAGACTGTATCTTTGAAAAAAAAAAAAAGTCAGGTTGGGGATATAGCTCAGCGGCACAAGCGCCTGACTGGCAAGCACAAGGTCCTGAGTTTGATTCCCAGTGCAAAAAAAAAAAAAAAAAGTCATTTTCCAAATTCTAAGGTAGTAAAGATTTTACATGTGTTTGAAGAATTTTATGCTTTTAGCTCCTCTTTTTTTTGTTTGTTTGTTTGTTTTTTTTTGTCTTATTTTGAAACAGGGTCTCGCTGTACAGTTCAGGCTGACCTTGAGCTCACTTTGTAGCCCAGGCTGGCCTCGAACTCACAACGATCCTCCTGACTCAGCCTCCCCAGTACTGGGATTATAGGCTTGCATCACTATTTCCAGCTTGCTCTTAGCTCTTAAATTTAGGTCTCTGGTCCATTTTGAGTTCATTTAATTTTGATACAGTGTCTCACTGAAGCAAGAATATACAAGTTAGGCAAATAGGGTACAGGTCCTGAATAGTTAACCTGAAGTAAACTAAAAGTCAGAGCTTAAGTGAGGTAGCATACTAGAGGGCGCAAATAATTAGTAAACAAACTGACTTATCAAGGCCTAATGGAATACGGAGGGACAAAAAAAAAAAAAAAAACAAGGTCCCTAACCAAATGATAGAGACCTTGGAGAAAGGAAAGTGCAAACGAAGCAGCTTGCTTTCTGGACATGAAAGACCTGCCCGAAACCTGGAGCATCCTTGCTTTCTGTGACAAACACTGATACAAAAAACTATAAAAAGCCAATGGACTTAAACAGCTAAGGCTTTTCCACTTTATGGAGACTCCTCCCCAACAAGTGAGGAGCTCTTTCCTTTTATTCTTTCTAATAAGCATGCATTTGACCATTCTCTACCACTTGCTACTTTGTCTTCTTCAATCTTCATTGCCCAAAAATAAGAACCCAAGAGGTAGAGGGAGCTGGTTACATTGCTAAGTCCCTAAGTTGTCCAGGCAGGGCTTGAACTTGGAATCTTCCTGCCTTGGTCTGTAGGCATGCACCACCATGCCTGGCAAACGCTACCTTTTTTAAGAAGTCATGTATTAAGAAGAATATGTAGCACTTACCTTTCTTAGTCTGGCTTACTTTGCTTAATATAATCTCCAGTTCCATCCATTTCCTTGTTTATGACATAATTTCGTTCTTCTTTATAGCTGCATAATACTCTACTGTGTATATATAGCACACTTTTTTTCTTACCCATTTCATGTAGGGTAGTTCCATATCTTGACTGTTGTGAACTATTCCCCAACAAACATGAGTATGTGGGTGTCACTGTAGTATATTGGCTTTTAGTTTCTTCAGGTACATATCAAGTAGTGATGTAGCTAGATCAAATATAGTTCCATGTTCAGTTTTTTGAGGAACCTCCATACTTATTTCCATAGAGGCTGTACTAATTTACATTCTCACTAGCACTGTAGAAGGATTCTTTTTCTACTGTAGCCTCACCATTTATTGTTTTTTTTGTATTATTATTATTTTTTGTTTGTTTTTTGTATTCTTGATGATAGCCATTCTAAGTTGAAATGGAATCTCAAAGTTGTTTTGATTTGAATTTTTCCAGTGACTAATGATGTTGGGTATTTTTTGTATACTTATTGGCCATTGGTACTTCTTTAGGAAGTGTCTGTTCAATTTGTTTGCCCATTTATTGGTTGGGCTATTTGATTTTTTGATGTTAAGTTTTGAGTTCTTTATATATTCTAGATACTAATCCTCTGCTAGAAGAGTAACTGGCAATGTTTTTCTCTTCATTCTGTAGGCTGTCTCTTCATTCTGTTAGTGTTTCCTTTGCTGTGCAGAAACTTTTAAAATTTGATACAGTCCCTTTTGTTGATTCTTGCTATTATTTTTGTGCTGTTAAAGTCCTGTCTGGGAAGTCTTTGCCTGTCATATGACTTCAGGTGTTTTCACAAAGCAGTTTCAAAGTTTCAGATCTTATGCCTAGGCCTTTGATCCATTTTTAATTTATTTTTGAATAGGGTGAAAATAGGGAACTAGTTTCAATCTTGCATGTATGGGTATCCAGTTTTCCCTTTTGTATTTGTTAATGAGGCTGTCTTTTCTTCTGCATATATTTTTGACCTCTTTGTCAAGAATCAGATGGCTCTAGTTGGGTTTGTTTCTGGTCCTCTCGTATATACCATTAGTCTATGTGTCTTTTTTTTATGCCAGTACCATCCTACTTTTGTTACTATAGCTTTGTAGTATAATTTAAAATCAGAGCCAGGCATAGTGGTATATGCCTGTAGTCCCAGTACTCTGGGAGGCTGAGGCAGGAGGATAACAAGATAGAGCCTAACCTGGGAAAATTAGCCGTTTATCAATACTCAGGGTATTTTGATGCTTACAGCATTACTCTTTTGCTTCAGATTGCTTTGACTGTGCTGGATCTTTTGTGTTTCCTTGTAAAATTTCTAGTTCTGTGGAGGATGTCATTGGAATATTGATAGGGGTTGCAGTGAATCTGTAGACTGCTTTTGATAATAAGGCCACTTTAACAATATTAATTTTGCTGATCTGTTTTCTAGTGTCTTCTTCAATGTCTTTCTTCAATGTCTTTCTTTAATTATAGAACATTCTTTAATGTTCTATAATTTTCATTGTGTAGATCTTCCACCTCCTTGTTGAGATTGATCCTTAAGTATTTTATTTTTTGGGGGCTGGGGATTTAGCTCAGCGGCAAAGCGCCTGCCTGGCAAGCGCAAGGTTGTGAGTTCGGTTCCCGGTACCGGAGAAAAAATAAAAAATAAAAAAAAAGTATTTTATTTTTTGGAAACTATTGTAAATGGAATTGCTTTCTTTCTTTTTTTTTTTCAGCTAGTTCATTATTGGTATATAGAAAGCTATTGATTTTTAAATGTTAATTTTGTATCCTGCCAACTTTATTCTTTTGCAGTGATATTTAGTTGCCTCAGCATTGGTTTTTGAAGAGGCTATCCTATCCCCAACTGATAGTCTTGGCAGCCTTGTTGAAAATTAATTGACCATATATGTGAGTTAAATCTGTGCTCTCAGGGCCTGGGGATTTAGTTCAGCGGCACAGTGCCTCCCTGGCAAGCACAAAGGTCGTGAGTTTAATTCTGGTACCGGAAAAAAAACCAAACCAAAACAAAACAAAACAAAAATCTGTGCTTTCAGTTCTTTTCTTTTGGTCTATATGGCTGTCATGTCAGTTCCACACTTTTGATTATTGTGGCTTTTTAGTAAGTTTTATCATCAATAAGTATACATCTTCTGACTTTCTTCTTTTTCATGATTGTCTTGGCTATTCTGGGTCCCTTGAAATTGCATATGAATTTTAGGGTTAGTTTCTTCACTTCTGCAAAAAACACCATTGGGATTTTGATGGAGATTGCATTGAATATGTTTGTTGCTTTGTGTAATATTGTCATATTAAAATATTAACTTTGCATTCCATGAACATAGGATGTCTTTCCACCCTTATATCTTTTAAATTTTAACAGCTACTAGCACCTGTACTTTGATTTGGTTAGCCATTTGAAAGGTGATATGAAAGGCTTTGTGGCCTGAGACACTGTACTTTGCTGGCTTAGAGGGTGTATGATGATGGGTATGGTTAAAAGTAGACGGTTACAGACGCTTATGTGGCCTTGGGTCTGAATCTGTTCACATTCAGATGTAACTACTTTTCTCCCTCCTCATCATGGTCAGTACCACTCTTCACAACCTTATAGAAAATTATTAATAAGGAAGGAGAGGGCCAGGGCTGAAAAATCATCCTGGTTGATTGCAGAGTTCCAAGCAAGGCATGTTACCCTTTGAGTAGCTGAGTACAGGAGATGGAGGCTTCAGATTTATCTAGAAATGGTAGAAGATGTGTGATAATTCTAGGCAAGAAATGTCTGGCATCTGTCAAGCAAGTACAGTCATGGATATCACAATGTAGAGGGACCAGGCATAGATTTCCATTAACTTTCTGGGTGTTGTGCTTGTACCCTCAGGTCCCTGACCAAGCCTTCTCAGAGCCTGTCTCCATCTAGGATGGCTTCCTTCAGAATGCTGCTTGGGCTGTTGATGGCCTTCTGTTTCACCTTCTGCCTCAGTCATCGGAACCCAGTAAGTGCCTTATTGCTAGTAGGAAGGATCCTTGATGAAGTCTGAGAAAACCTTCCCCTCCCAGGTCTATGGTTGGATGTTGTGGGCTTTTATTCTTTCTTAGGGGAACATGGCTTTTTCTTTCCCATTCCTGAGTCCTCTGTCTTCTACTGTTTTTTTTTTTTTTTTGAGACAGGGTCTTGCTATGTAGTCCAGGCTGGCCTTAAACTTGTGGTGATTCTCCTGCCTCTGCCTCCTGAGTACCGGAATTACAGGCATGCACCACCACACCCGGCCTCTGCCCTTTACTTAAAACTCATGGTACAGTTTCCTTTTGGAGAAAAGGCGATGATACTAATGTTTCCAAGTGTTATTCATTAAATGCTTTCCTCTCATTTAGTTCTCCCTGCAATCCTATAAAGTAGGCAACTACAATTATTACCCTTATTTTGAAGAAAAGGGGAGACTTGGGATCAGAGACTTCAAGCATCTTGGCCCAAATCACACAACCAGTGTAAGGCAGAACTGAGAAACTCAGGATTCGCGCTAGGAGCGGGGTGCCTGTGTAGTGGGTACCAGGATGACGCTACCTACTTTCTTCCTTTCTTCCTTGTGCTTCCTCACTGTCTGCATCCTCCTTTCTTTTGCCCTTTTCTTTCTGTTCTTTCTAGGCCTCTCTTCATTAACCTAGACCTCATTGCTTAGGGCTTCTGTCTTTGTTACAGGCAGGAGGAGAATGCCTAAGAAGGCCTGTGCTTGGCCTGGCTGCAGCATGCTAAAGCTCCTGACCTTGTTTTCCTGGTCTTTTTCAGCAGCAGCATGCCTTTAACCAGTTCCCAGTGCCCTTCTTTTCCCCTCCCTTGAGAACCCCTGACAGTTAGTTTCCTGACAGTTTTAACCTTCCCTGGCCACCTTCCCCAGCCCCCAGGGCTCTCACTAAATGTTGGGTAAAGTGCTAGAGGCTTTAGAACCAGAGGCCCTTGAAGTGCAAATGACAATTGTGATGAATTTAATAACAATCCAGCACAGCCAAGGTTCACCTCTGGCTCATGGCAAGCTTCCACCTTCTCTCTGAAGTCATTTGTTTTCTGTTTGCCTTTCTCCCTACTTTGTGGAGCAGGAGCAAATGTACAGTTAGGAATCACGAATCTTTTTGAGCTTTTAATGTTCTCTGACTGAGATCCTGTTGGTGCTGTTTTTTGACCTCTTCTTCAAAGACAGTGGAGGACAGGATCCCAGGGGCCCTTAAAGGTAGGACTGGTTATAGCATGAGGTTAGGGATATCTGGTATAGCTGGGTGGTAAAGTGGAAAAGCACCCAAGATTCTCAAGAAATCAGGGTTGTGTCCCTAACTTGAGGCTTATGAGGATCCTTGTGCTCCCAATTGAGAGCTTTAGCAGATGCACAATTAACAAAAGCGTGCTGATGAATTTACTTAAGGACTGTGTGTTACTAAGTCCCTTTCGGATAATAGTCCAACCGAATAGATGAGCTTTCAGAGCTATAATTATTCTGGCCCATTTATATTAGCTCTATTGAGTCTAGTCTCAGAAAAATGTTAATACTGACTTTCATCAACAGAAGCTGCTTTTATCCTTATGTCTGTTCCTAAGCTGTATCCATTTGTCATAATCTTTCATCCTGTGCTAAGCACAAGTAGGAGTTGAAGCGTTTTTTCTCTTATACCATAAAAATTGCTGCCCTGATGGCATTTAAAATCCAAATTATGCAGCTAGCTACCTTTACAATAGTGAAAATAGGGTAGGGGTGCTTATGATCTTTTCTTTAGAGCCTAGAGTCCTAGCAAGTGCTCCTGATGACCTGGAATTGCCCTCCCTAAAGCCTTTTATGCAGATTAATGGACAACCAGGACAAATTGGCTGTATGTATCGGTGCGGTCTGGATACAGCCTTCCTCTCCAACTCTTGCTGTGGCACTTCCCTGGGATGCCTCATGTCTGGAGGAATGCAGATGTTGAAGGGTTGTGGTTTAGAGGTACTGGCCTTCAAAAAGGTGGTAAATGAGGATAGAGGTAGTGGAGCCCAGTAGAATGAACACAGGTTCTTTGCATGTTCATTTTTGCCTACCTTGTTTGGTGGTTTGACCATTTCTGAGCCTTGTTTCCTCATTTGTAAGGCCAAATTGGTATCTTCCTCTTAAGGTTTTATTTTTATTTTTTATTTTTTTTAGTTTTTCTCTGGTACCGGGAACCGAACTCACGACCTTGCGCTTGCCAGGCAGGCACTTTGCCACTGAGCTAAATCCCCAGTCCCCTCTTAAGGTTTTAGTGTAAATTAAATGTGATTGTATCAATGAAGCACCTGCATTGGGACTGGTATAACATGGTCAATAAATGTCAGGTGTTATTTTTAGTATGGGAGTGGCTGCTTCAGTGGTTTAATTTGGAGCTGTGTCAAGCAAACTCCTGTCTCAAAAGGTTGCCCTGGCAGTCAGTCTTGGTCACAGTGTTATCAACCCACCAGTAGAAAGTCATTCATTCTGTTGGATCTTGAAGGCCTTAGCTTTTAAGAATATTTTATTCAGATACAAGCACAAGGAAGTGTAACTTGGTAAGACGTCAGCTAATGCCTTAGCAGGGATTTCCTGCCAATCAGTTGAGAAGAAATTGGTATTTGGGGGCTGGGGATTTAGCTCAGCGGCATAGCACCTGCCTGGCAAGTGCAAGGTCGTGAGTTTGATTCCTGGTACTGGAAAAAAACAAAACAAAAAAAAGAAATTGGTATTTGGAGTGATAGTGGTAGGGAGAAGAGAGAGAGATGATGATCTAGCACGGAAGGGATCCCTGTGAAGCCAGCTGGGAGGGAACCACAGGATGAGATTTACTTCAGAGCTGACCAAAGGCAGCCTGCCTCTCTTGCCTCTTGGTGTCTCTCCTGGTCAGGATATTGCCTGGGCAGAGAGGCTAACTTTGCTTGTCCTTCCTCTGGGACTATAGTTTCTCACCTAGCCCATGGAATTTGCTTGGGAAGAGGAATGTTTAGGGAGATGGGTTAAGATGATCTCATTTTCCTAGCTTTATTTCCTCAGCATCAAGGATGCAGCCACTGGGACATTTGACCAAGAAATATAAAGGCAAATTTTTTTTTGTTTTTGTTTTTGTTTTGGGTACCAGCAGTTAAACTGAGGACCTTGACCTTGCCAGGCAGATGCTGTGCTAATGAGCTATATCCCTAGCCCATAAAAGTGAATTTGAATTCCTACTTTGGGCTTTGAAGCCCAGCAGGCCTGGCCTTAAATCTTTGCTCTGCTTTTCTGAGCAGTGTGATTTTGAACAGGGCTTGTCTGTCCTCATCTGTAAAATGGGAATGATAGTTGTGCTTCACAGGTGAGACTGAGGTGAACTGAGGCACGGAAGGCACTTTAGTCCCATGTCTGGTCTGTGGTCAGGGCTTATGGAATGGTGGCTGCTGTGATCACTATAACCACATCCTTGTGGTGCTGCTTTCCTCAAGACCTCACCTGGAACTTCCTTTCGAACTGACTGCCCACCCTGTAAGATGTTCATTTCACTGAACCTCTCTCAGTGCTTCTAAGTCTTTGAGGATGACCAGATGTGATATTTGGTAAAATGTCTAAGGTTACTCAGAGAAAGGTCTGGAACAGGATAAGCTGTTTGAACAGGAGAACATCAATTTGATATCATCCTTACTAAAAGTTGAGATGTACTGTAAAATAATGACAGAATTTGGGTTTACATCTTAAAATCTGGTTCAAAGATAATTCAAGAGAAGGGATAAAACATTTCCACTGTGACAGGATTGTTGCAAATGTGTTTGGCCTTCTAAGGCCAAACACAGTGGTTCACAGAGCTCAGTGGTTCATTGGTCAGTTAGTTTCTTTGAATCTTTGTTTTTAATTGACACACAGTGATTGTACATTTTTATAGGGTATTATGTGACATTTCAATACATGTGTACTGCATCCAACAGTCATATCGGGGTAATTGGCATATCTCTAACCTCAGACACAGTGTTTCTTTGTGTTGGGAACATTCAAAATCTACTTTACTACATAGTTACTTTGTGATATTCAACTAATTATTGTCAAGTATAGTTATACTACTGTTATACAATATTAGAAGTTATTTCTTCTGTGTATAGTGGTACATGACTGTTATCTCAGCACACAGGAGGCTAAAACAAGAGGACCACAAGTTTGAGGCCAGCCTAGGCTACAGAGTGAGTTGAAGGCCAGTCTCAGTTATGTAGCAAGAGCCAGTCTCCAAAATAAAAAGTTCCTCCTCGTATCCATTGTACTTCTGTACCTGTTAGCCTTCTTCTCTTCATTTCATCTCCTTTTGCAAACTTTGATAACCTCTACCCTTGTTATCTATTTCTCTGAGATAGAACTTCAGCTTTTGCTTGTGTGAGAACATGCAGTATTTGTCTTTCTGGCCTGATTTTTTTTTTTCCATTTAACATAATGTCCTCCAGTTCCATCCATGTTGCTGCAAATGACACAATTCCATTATTTTTATGGATGAAAAATATTCTGTTGTGTATATATTTGTTACATACAATAATTTCGGTCCATTTATCCATTGATGAACAGCTGGGTTGGTTCCCTGTCATGGCTGTAGTGAATAGTGCTACAGTATACATGCAAGTGTAGTTATTTCTTTACCATACTGATTTTAATTCCTTTGCATATGTATCTAGTAGTATGATTACCAGATCATATACCAGTTCTAGTTCATTTTTTGTTTTTTTTTTAAAGGTTTTTGAGACAGGATCTCGCTATGTAATTCAGACTGGCCTTAAACTCACTGTGTACCGCAGGCTGGCTTTCAACTCACAGAGGTCCTCCTGCTCAGCCTCCTGACTGCTGGGGTTACAGGCATGCACCACCATGCCCAGCTTCTAGTTCATTTTTCAGGAACTTCCACACTATTTCCCATAATGAATGTAATAATTTATATTCCTACCAACAGTGCATGAGAGTTCCCTTCTTCTACATTCTCACCAACATTTGTTACTGTCTTTCTGATAATAGCCGTTCTC